CTCACCCGCATTCTTGAAAACAGGGCACCTTTCATAGACTCGGGAAGGATTTTTCCTTCAGGCAGCGGCTGAACAGTTTTGCTACGATCGGGGATAATTCTTAAGAACGACCACTCAGATTTTATCAGAACCAGTAGCCTTCTGAGAGTCAAAACTTTTGTATTTCGGGAGATGGAAAAAGTCGGAAATGGGATGGATTTTGTCGTCTGGCGTGGCGGCAAAGATCGTAGCGAAAAAGTTTGTCATATCAGATGAGGATGAGATAACCTTAAGGCTATTTATGATAGTATGTACTCACGATTTGCCTCTATTGAGAATTAGGTTGGAGGTTTTCCAAGTCGTTTGCTTTTGACCTTTGACTGCTTGTGCATAAGTGCACTTTGCATTTTCTAGAACTCTCTTTCAATGGATGCGGGCAGTTCTCAGTGCAGCTAGTGTCCTATTACACTGTTCCATACTAATACTTGCTCACTTATTGCCGGCTTCTTGCTTTCATTTCAATTAAGATCGTCATCTTCTGTCCCCTTGAATCATGTTCTTTTAATCCCCTCTCTCCTCAACAACGTTTTCTCGGTAGCCCACTTATCGTCTTAGTGGCTATACCCCTTGATTGGGAAAAATGAAATAAGAATGTATATATTGACACATGGATAATGGTGAGGATGTAAAAATGTATTGCTGATAATATTTTTTCTTTTCGGAAATGTATTGCTGGTAATATTAATTTATATATATATATATATATATATATATTTACAAAAATTTATTTATATATAATTTATATATATTTACAAAAATGTATTGTTGGCAATTTTTTTACTAGGAAAATGTATTGCTGGTATTTTTACTATAAAAATCTATTTTTATACTTTCATAGTGTTTTTCCCAGCTTAAGGGTTAACTATTTGCCCATAGCTGAGACACTAACAGATGCTACCACCCCAGGTCAGGGTGGACATGTGATCAACAGCAATTAAGAGGTGGTTCCACGTCCCTGAAAACTTCCCGATCAGAGGCCTTGCTGCCGGATGTAGTTTATCGCCGTACCCAGGACGGGAAATTACTATTGTGTGAGAGCATATCAACTTTGGAGATGTCATCTGTTGAAAATATAACTAAATTGAGAACTAGAAGCAAAAGAAAGGACTTTAAAGACGTGTTCCCTTGAGAGGAATGTAAAATAAAGCAAGTTTTAGCGAAACAACTACCTTTAATCAACGCTCGGATTTTTGAACAGGTTGAAATTGAAAGAGTCACAAGGAAAAAAAAATTGTAGAATATTTTGAAAATTGTGATTTGTCAAGAAATCTCCTCTCAGTAAAACAAACTTCTTAAAGCGTCAAAATTGGGTCAAAAATACATAGAAATAAACTTTTTTTTAAACTACTTTTTACCGAGCAATCTCGGCGCGACGCTGGATAAATCTGATGAATGGGCCAAGGGGTCCGATAAACAGGTACCTGTGGGTAAAAGAAGTAACAAGGAGGAGGCAGTGGGTTGATATGGACTGGTATTGAACAATTGAAAGTCGATGAATGATTCAGACTGAATAATGCTAACTATGGCGATTTCGTGTCGATATCTGTTACACCACCCACCCTGCGTTAATGGCAATGATTTCACCTATGAATCCTTGCTTGACATCAGAGTAATGAGCTAACGAATAATTTGCTGTGATTACTATATACAGAAAAAAAAATTCTGCAGTGTTATCAATATATTACCAATGTATTACCAATATATTTCTCGAGATAAAAGAGGTACGACTTTGTGCTGAAAACATATTTTTAATTTTCGACTTGGTTTGAGTTCGAAAGTAAAAATTAAATAATTACTAGTAAAACATTAATAAAGCTTGAAAATACTTAATCCAATAATAAAATTCAAGTTAACTTTACTAGCATTGCAAATAAAGCAACTGAAATTAAGATGAAGGAAATACTAATTAAAGATTAATAGGTACTGTATCATGTATGCTCATTTTTTAGCGAATAAAGTTATTTTAGAAAAATTAGAAAATTTAAAGTATACTTAATGTAATTGGAAACAAAAATTACTTAACGTTTTAGCAGAAAAAATTAGTTGGAAATAAGATAAGCATGTCTAACCGTGATGATTGGTTTTGGAGGTGTGAATTGAAGTTTACGTCAATGGATCGACAACTAACGTCAGGGCAATTTATCGGACGGAAGGGCAGAAGTGACAATATTTTCGAATTTTAAGTGAACTAGCTTATATAACTATAAAGTAATACTTAAAAATTAAATACTTTCAAAAGTCTGATATTTTATTGATGTTTTAGGTACTTTTTTTAATGAAGCTTGTACTGTTTCCTTCGAAAAATTTGAATTTAAAAAAATAGTAATAATTGCAGTATGTCTCTCACTGAAAAAGAAAAAAAAATGATTATATTTAAAAAATGGAAAGAAAATGAAAAATTTTGAAAATGCGATGATGATAGTCGGTCAATCGGACAATTTGACACGAAATCAACGCAATTTATGAGTCCGGTTCGTCGCTATCAGGAGAAACAACTCTTAAAATACGTGACATTATTTCTGAATTGTGCCTCCGTAGTTTTGCTGGAAACGTTTTTAATCCATTTTTTGGCATATTAAAAAATTACTGTGAAAATAGAAACGATTCACAGGTTGGAATAAGCTTTCAAATTTAAGCTCTGTAAAAATAGATCTTTTAATAAAAGCATTTCTAGAGATACACGTATACAAACTTAATTTGAAAATATTTATCAACTTTATCACATTTTGTATTTAAAATTGAAAAAAAAAAAGAAAACAATTCTTGTAAAAATTCATTTTTCATCAAAAAAATATTTTCGCTTTAGACAATAATATCCTCAATATATATTATTCATAAAAGCCATTACAAACATTTTTAATTAAATATTTTAGTTTTATTCGGTTTGGGATTTTACAATTCAGAGCTAAAGTCTGGGTAGATACGTTCCTCGGTTTACAAAAACAATCGATGATTTATATTCTTTAAAGTCTTCTGTATTTAATTAAAAAATTACAAAAATACACATACTTGAATTTTCATAAAATTAAGTAACGGTCGGGGGTAACAGATGTAAAAAAATATTTTTATCATGACTTTCTAAAATCCAATATTTCTAAAATAATTACGTTCATTTTTGAATAAGTTCTGAAAATTTCATTAAAATCCGACAATTATTTAATTTTTGCAAGAATTTTCTAAATTGATGTGTTTTTCAACTGAAAAAACGCTAAAAAACTAATGCTAAATATTATGAGACCACTGCTGTAAAAAAAAGATTTTCAACTAAAATTTCAAACGTGCTACAAAGGAATAAAAAACAACAAAAAAAAAAAAAAGAATAAAAAATACTTTGGTCCTTCTTATTATTAATAACAAACTTTTTCACGATAAAATTTTGTTTTTATTAAATTTAGGGCTTTTTTTCATCATGCTATGATGTTTTTTCGGTGAATTATTGGATATACTTATTTTAATTAGAATAATTTATAGTTTTAAATCTTTTAAAATTCTGTATTAATTTCTGTCAGTCAAGTAATATTGCTATTGAGTAAAAACTATATTTACTAATCATAAATGGAAAGCTTAGTACAATTCAGCAACTCCTAGTATTTTACAAAGAATTTGGAATATTATCGTGCGTGCATTTTGCAATTACGGATGTTCATACACGACATTATCAAAAAATAAGAGTGGTAACTATAGTAAATTTAAAATTTATTGGTAATTTCCTAACATTTCCTTAACAAGCATCTTCATAAGTAAGACTATAAGCCAAATAACCTAAAATTCAATAAAATATTAGATTACTTAGAATACTGTCTTAAATTATATAAAAAGGCATTCGCGCTGTGTTCGTCAAAGAATTTTTACAGTTATGTACCCTTAAATTTGCCAAAGCTATCAATAAACTTAACACATCATAAAAACACTCTCTGTTGTATTAAAAAATGCTTTTCTGTGATATTTTAAACTAAAAGTGAGTAATATTTGTTTTAATTCAGATTAATTAAACTTTAAATCAGTTAATCTTCCTCAAATAAATTTTCAGAAAAGTATATTCAATTTTTGAAAAATAATAATAATAATAATAATAATAATAATAATAATAATAATTCTTTCAATAAAGAAAGTATTTATCAATATGACCGATTTTAGCGATTAAAACAAAATTCCAATCAATTTAAATTCGGTTTGAAATACAGTAATTTATTTTGCGTATTGGGAATATTAAATTGAATCTATTAGCTTGAATTTAAAACTAAAATAAAAGCTTCAAGAAAGATTTTTCATATTTAAAATGCATTTTGAACCTAAAGTATCGCTTTTTTGGAGGTACCCAGTGACAAAAAAAAAAAAAAAAAATTCAAGATAATGTTATTTTGTAAAACTTGAGTTTGTAAATGGAATAGAGATTGATTATATTTTAAGATCGATATTTTAAGATTGATTAAAATTAAATTCGGAAAAGTTTTACGCATTAATATAATTATTTGTGGAAGAATAAAGGATGGCATTGCAAAGAAATATGTATATAATTTTTTCACTAAATGTACATGAAAAACTTTTTAAATGACTAAATACGAGATTATCTGAAAACGCATGTTTCCATTAACGATTGAATTGTCTAGAGTTTAAGAATATAAAAAAAACAAACTTTGCAATATCAAATATTTGACTCCCTAACTTTAAAAAGGCTAAGATTTATTGATTGATTCGTTTTCTTCGATTTATCAACCCTTTTGCAGGTTATTTAAAGCCAGAAAATATTTTTAGATTGTAAGAATTTTTTATTGAGATAATGATGGTTTAGTGATACAAGTCTTACTAATTAACCCATAGCTGGGGGAGAAGTGGTGGATTCATACCTTTCCCAAAGGTATTTGCCCGTAAGTGAATATAACAAACCAACGGGAATCGGAGCACGGCTCTCCGATTAACACTTCCGAGCCATTATCCATTAAACCATTCACACATTCAAGCTTACAGCATCTGGTATTCCCAAGTGGACACCCCTCTAAGTACTGACCTGGCTCAAAGTTGCTTAACTTTGGTGATCATACAGGAGGCAGTATTTTACAACAATGAAGTACAGTTCAAATCTAGTAACAGATTTCTCATAGAGTCTAACAAAAAATTATTTCCAGGGCCACCGAAAGCGCACCAGATTCAAGTCCGGGGTGGGGGTGGCTTTATCACTCCTCCCTGATTGCAAGATATAAGAAGAAGCATAGAAAATAGAAAAAAACGAGAAGGTAAGTGGTATTGATGCCGTCATAATAGTTAACTTCTCCCTGTGCTCATACTCACAGTCACAGTCACACACGCCTCTTTCCACCGATCATAAAAAACACAGTAATATGGCCTCACACAACTTTAAGCGGGAAAACGGAAGGAAATGTACATAAGAAGAGCATTTTATAACATGAATTTTTTTTTTCGCTGGGGGTTGGACATTGCTAAAAAGAAAAAAAAATTGAAAGAATGTAGGTTACGAACATATAAAAGTTCTCCTAAAATAAAATGAATGCCTAGTTTTCGTCCCACTGACATAATTACCGACATAGTTGAATAAATAGATTTATTTATTGTGTTTACAATTGATTCTAATTTTAAGAAAATACTAAAGAAAAGAGTGCTCGGCTACTAGGGCACCCGAAGCCCCCCCCCCCATCCCCCAAGACGGTGGTTGGTGCTGAGTAAGGGGCCCCAGGCAGTGCTTTGTGATCGTTGCTATCTTATTAGCATTTGCTTTTTCTACCTACATTTACGTTACAATTTAAGCACAACTGACTATTAAACGATGATAAATTTTCACGGATTTTGACGTCATTCTGTTTTGTTTTGTTTTGTGTTTTTTTTTTCATCTAAATCCGTGAATTTGTCTCGAAAAATACTATTTAAAATTCCCTATTTTTTATCCATAATGTTGAATGTGTTAAAATTATTAAACTTTTTAACAAGAAAAAAATCTCCAGTTGATGTTAAAAACTGCCGCAAAACATTGTTGATTTATTTAAGATGGAATGATCTATTATGACATGTCCCTAATTTGTATTTAGATATATTGTATTTATTTTTAATTTTTCTAGTTGAATTATTCACCTATATTGCATATGATCCATTATTGTACATAATTAAGTTACAACAAAATTTGTATTTTATATGAAAATTGAGATGTAGTAAAGCGGTGGCTCATATCATAGATTCGGTGTGTTGGGGGGGGGTATTAAAAGACCCTTGCACCAGCCTCGCCGGCTGCTATTTAATATCAGTGCACCTATATGGCATTGAATGCTGGACAATTTCCGCGTAGATGAAGAGGTAAAAGAGATATGATTCTACAGAATGATGCTGAGAATACCATGGACGGAGCATGTGAGCAACGAAGAAGTTTTATGGAAAATGAGAACGAAGGAAAGAAGGCGTGTAGAGTTTGACACTCACAAGACATATTGAGGGCAGGAGAGACAGGGGAAAACAGTGAATAACCCTCCTAGTGAGTTTATATTAATGGATGGCAGAGACGGGACTGGGAGGGATGGTAAGGCGACAAAGGTTGCTCAGAGTTACAGAGAACAAAGAAGCTGTGGATAGTCATGGTCACCCACGCCCTAAAGAGACACGACACTGAACTATGATTAGAAAAACTGTGATTGGAAGACACTTAGGGAAAAGAGGAGGTAAAAAGTTCTGTTCTCTAAAACAAACTAAATGTTGCAATATTTATCCGTCTATAACAACGCCATTTTGAAGACCTATGATAGAAGAGGGTTTAGGAGAGAAAAGCGCCGAATACTTTTCAAAACATCACAACATTAATAAAATTTTAAAAAAATTGTATAATGTCTACTACGTTTTCAAACAACGAAACTTACATAGTTTATAGATTTTATTTGTGAGATGTTTAGTCAAGAATTTACGATTATATCGGTTCTATAATAAATATATGTTTGCCAAAAATATAATTTCCAGAAAAAATTTGAAAAAAACATCTCTTGAATTGGATGTGTCTACGATTATATCAGTACCTTGTGTTAGTCTTGGCTTCTTCAGGTCAGCATGAAAAAACGAAATGCGTCGGAATTTTTGAGGATAAGAGGAGTAAAATGACCTTATCAGAACCGACAACCAGAAATCAGAAAGTATTTATTTGTTTATATATTCGAAAATTATAACATAAATACGTCATAAAATCACTACAAAAATAACTATTTTGTTTCAACACTTCTGGTGTCTTATCAAGTGATGGTGTTGAATGTAGAATAAAGGGTTTTAAAAGGTTCAAATCAATCAAACATCCCTCGCTAGGGGAAACGTTGTTACATAAGCTGCAATGACCAATCAAAATACAAGTTTATGAGAATTCAAAAAAACTTGACAACGAACTAAGGTTATAATAATTATTTAATGCTTTAATGTTGGTGTTAGACTAAAATAGAATTTATTCTAATAAATATTAAATTATACGATAAAAATTGAAATTGAAAATTAACCATTTTAAAATTTAAATTTAATCTATATTAAGTTTAAAATTATAAAATTACTGAGGAAAAAGAAAAAATACATATGTTATTCTATTTATTTTGCTTTTATTGAAATTAAGTTGGAATAAACGTCAAGATCAAATGTTGCTCTGAACTTCATGACAATGTAGATAAATTTGAAGCATAAACAAAGGCAGGGAGGATGAAATATATATATATTTATGCATATATATATATATATATATATATATATATATATATATATATATATATATATATGCATATATATATATATATATAGGATGAAATATACATACATACATATATATATATATATATATAATAGAGCCATTTGTCTGTTTGGTTTTAAAGACATCCAGAAATACATTTGCAACTTTTTTACCAATGTGGAAAAATTAATGTTGTGATTTTAGAAATATTCATTTTTTTACATTAATAACTAATAATTTGACAACAATTTTCTTAGGCGCTTACAAATATGTGATATTTAGCAAACTTGTCTCGCGGATACTGGTATCATGAGTTCAATTCATTTCAATTCATTTTCTGATTGGTTCTTTTTCTAATTAAAAAGGTCAGCCATTGATTGGTCTGACTTTATCTATCTACGGACGAGACAACTTCTCCCACTGAACAAAAAAATACTGAGTACCTCGGTGCTGAAGTCTTTTCTAACCAACTCCTCCCGATTGCATTAAAAGAATAGCGTTAGGGACACATACTGAAACCTAAGGCAAAAACTAGTAAAGCTGGGCATCTTCTAGACAATCGCATTATATAAAAGTGTCTGGGTTTCAACATTAAAAAAAGATCTTGTATAAAATGTTAATTCCGTGAGCAGAGAACAAAATACATTTTGGCTCGACAGACTAAAAGTGGGTAACAAGCTTAGTGGCCTGGAAACTTATGCCTCATTGCACTAAGGGAGTTATGGTCACGGGTACACACTGATGTCTGTGGCGATGTCCAAGGGAACTGAGCTATTTGATAATAACCCAACATAAGTCCTGTTCATTTAGTTAGTTTTGCTTTGTTTGACACTAGTATGGGGTACTCAACGAGGATAGACGATGGCGCGTGCAGATAGTATAACGGATATCGGCGCGGAAAGTGGAATCGACGAGCCGAGTTCAAATTCTGGACTAGTCAGCTGCGTTCACTTCCACACAAATACCCTTGGGGAAAGGCATGAACCCCTCTGTTCTCCTTTCAGCTATTGGTTAAATAGCAGCGTAACCGGGGCCACTAGAGGAGGGCAACTTTGAATTCGATACCGTGGAGAAGGCAACTGGAAATCACTCCAATATATTTCCAATAATGCATGACAATTCACTGATAAGAAAGAAAATGAAATTGTGGAGGTTCATAATCGTTCTGAAGGGATATGGGATTAAAAACAAAAACAAAAAGATGCATAAAGAGAGATCTGTGCTGCGTGGGCGGTTATATGGATTCTTTTTTTCTTTTTTTCTTTCTTTTTTTTTAAAAAAATCAAGAAAGGCAATAATGCGACTTAGGACGCAAGGGGTTACTGGAAGTGAAAGAGATTGAGAAGACTTTAGTAAGGAGAAAGGACAATAAAAGAACAAGTTTCAGGAAGACAGAAGATGGTGATTTGTATTGCATTTAAATTTTTGGAGATTGCAGGGGAAAAAAAACGGAAGAACGTTCCACAGGCGGGAAGTACGAAGAAAAGAAAAGAAACTATTTGAATAATAGTAAAAGTCGGACGCACATATGAGAACAATTCAGAGATTCAAGAGAGAGTTCCCACTCGGGAGATGTTAACGAATAAAGGCACTAAGGTCATGCAGGCGGCGAGTCCTTACGAAAGAGAGGGAGATAGCCAGGAACAGAGAATTCAATGGGAGAGTAAAGAATTTAGATTAGATTGTGGGAGAGTGGTTTATTCAATTGCTCACTGTTCTACTTATTTTACTCATTTTTTTTTCTATCAGCAATTATAACATGTCAGTGATGAGATATTTTGTCAAAAATCTATCAACATATCGAGTACAGGGAACGTGACGTATATATATGTCATATTCTGCCTTTTTTATGACAAATTACAACAGGTGAATTGCAAAACAATTCATTGGTGTAACGAAATCGATCCTCACGAGTATGCTTAATAAATGTTTCAGTCTGTTTCATACGTTTGTCGTTTATTTATTGAGATATTTGCAGTTTAAGACAAGGAGGTGTCTTCTCACCGGATTTATTCAACCTACACATTAAGGTGATTCTGAGAGAACTAGAACTCCTACCAGGATTCATCATTGGCGACCAATCTTAACAATATAAGATATTCAGATGACACGGTGCTGATAGCAGACACGAAAAGGAAACTACAAAATCTCATACAGAAAGTAGAGAAGAAAAGCGAGAAGAAAGGACTAAAGATAAGCTACAAGAAGGCCGAAAGCATGGTTACCAGCAAAAGGATGAGCCCAAAATGCAAATTATATGTTGGAGATACTAAAATCAATCAGGTACAGAGATCTAAATATCTGGGAAATGTTCTAACAGAGAAGTGCAACACTGAGATCCGAAGACGTATTGGAATGGCCAA